GGAATCGAACTGGGTTCGCCGGGTTGGTAGCGCAGTGTAGCGTTAACCACTACACCCACCGCTCCTCACACACACAGACACACAGACACACACACAGACACACGCAGACACACACAGACAGACACAGACAGACACACAGACACACAGACAGCACGCTAACCACTACACTACCGCTCCCCACACACCACACACGCACACACACAGACACACACACAGACACACACACACAGACACACACACACAGACATACACACAGGCAGCACGCTAAGCACTACACTACCGTTCCCCCTACACACCACACACGCACACACACAGACACACACACACAGACACACACACACAGACACACAGACAGCACGCTAACCACTACACTACCGCTCCTCACACACCACACACGCACACACACAGACACACACACAGACACACACACAGACACAGACAGCACGCTAACCACTACACTACCGCTCCTCACACACCACACACGCACACACACAGACACACACACAGACACACACACAGACACAGACAGCACGCTAACCACTACACTACTGCTCCCCACACACCACACACACACACACAGACACACACACAGACACACACACAGACACACACACAGGCAGCACGCTAAGCACTACACTACCGTTCCCCCTACACAACACACGCGCACACACACAGACACACACACAATACACACACACATACACACAGACATACACATACATACAAACACACACATACATACACACAAACACATACACAATACACACACACATACATACAGACACACACATACATACACACAAACACATACAGACACATACATACACATACATACAGACACACAGACATACACATAAACACATACACACATAGTCATGACCTGGCTTTGCCCGGGACTTGTATCCACCACGGCCGGCCGCCTTTGTCTCCCCAGTGGCGATGTTAATACTCCACACCAGTTACTCGTTTGAGGCTGATTCGACCTAGGGGAGGTTCAAATAATCTTGACCGGTGGTGGCCATGAGCGGGAATCGAACTGGGTTCGCCGGGTTGGTAGCGCAGCGTAGCGTTAACCACTACACCCACCGCTCCTCACACACACAGACACACAGACACACACACAGACACACGCAGACACACACGGACAGACACAGACAGACACACAGACACACAGACAGCACGCTAACCACTACACTACCGCTCCCCACACACCACACACGCACACACACAGACACACACACAGACACACACACACAGACACACACACACAGACATACACACAGGCAGCACGCTAAGCACTACACTACCGTTCCCCCTACACACCACACACGCACACACACAGACACACACACACAGACACACACACACAGACACACAGACAGCACGCTAACCACTACACTACCGCTCCTCACACACCACACACGCACACACACAGACACACACAGACACACACACAGACACAGACAGCACGCTAACCACTACACTACCGCTCCTCACACACCACACACGCACACACACAGACACACACACAGACACACACACAGACACAGACAGCACGCTAACCACTACACTACCGCTCCCCACACACCACACACACAGACACACACACAGACACACACACAGACACACACACAGGCAGCACGCTAAGCACTACACTACCGTTCCCCCTACACAACACACGCGCACACACACAGACACACACACAATACACACACACATACACACAGACATACACATACATACAAACACACACATACATACACACAAACACATACACAATACACACACACATACATACAGACACACACATACATACACACAAACACATACAGACACATACATACACATACATACAGACACACAGACATACACATAAACACATACACACATAGTCATGACCTGGCTTTGCCCGGGACTTGTATCCACCACGCCCGGCCGCCTTTGTCTCCCCAGTGGCGATGTTAATACGCCACACCAGTTACTCGTTTTGAGGCTGAGTCCCTCCCTCGCCACTCTGTAGAGGACGTGAAATTTGTATGAATTTACCTCAGAGTGGCGTGTTGGGTGTCGAGGCCTAGCACCGTGCAGAGCCTCCCGCCTTGCCTGATTTTCCCACCCGGCGAACGCTGGGTACGGGTGCCGGTCCCCCCCCCCCCCCCCCCGCGCTATTAAAAATGGCGTCCACCCCGCGGCGAAAAGTTGCTACTCGTTGCCAGGGGCAACCGCCGTCCAATGAAAGCGGCGAAGGCGTCGTTAGCTGTTGCCAGTGGCAACCGCCGTCCAATGAAAGTGCGTATGGTCCGAAATCCACACACACATACACAGACAGACAGACATGCACGATTTTATATATATAGATAGGGCACAACAGATTATAGTGTTTGTATGCATCGGGACACCTTGTATGTATGTTGAACTTATTTCGCAACGTACGTAACCAACCGCGCTAATCGGAGGTGCGAGGGAAGGACAACGAACTCAACACAAAAATCACTTCCAAAGAAATACGTTTTCAATTTAGATTTAAACGTGCATAGCTCCAAGCGACTTCCTAGCATCGAAACGGAAGAGCGTCCTCGAGTGGTAGTCCCTTACGCCAATAACTCCTAATCCAAGCGCTGCTTACGACAGAAACGCAATGAGAACAAGACGTGGCATTATACCGCAATTAGCAACATAGGGCCGTGTCTCAAGACGCCGTACAGACACCATGGGCATATCTACCACGTGCAGAGCCAAGCGTCGGTAGGTAGCTTGGGCAGGACACGCCATGGCTACAGCAGGGATAATGATGATGGTGGTAATGATGCCAGATGGTCAATCATCAATTACAAAGCGGCAGCCACGGAACGGGAAAGCGTCCGATAGAACGCACCCTGAGAGATGGAGCGTGGATTGTTAATATCGCATGATCGTGAGAGATGGCGGCGACTTTGGGGAGAGAGAGAGCCCTTCATGCAGCAGTGGAGAGATAGCGGCAAAAGCCGGGGGTGCGGGGCTTGGGGCAAATCTCGCCGCGTGTATTACATCTGACACCACCCGTGACGTCAAAGCGCGCCCCCCCCCCCAAAGCGCGGGGCCCGGGGCGGTTGCCCTGATTCGCCGTCCACCACTGAGCTCGCTCACCAACCTCGACATTAAAAAATAAGAGAGACGCGAAATCTCGAAGACGCTTTGAGTTTCAGATTCAATTGATTTTCAATGGACGGATCGCCGTGCCGTCGTCTGTCCGACGTTCCGGCCGGGCCTGCCGTTCGGGTTTACCATGCGGCCATACGTGCTCTCACACGAAAACACCACCACACCCACGAATACCTCTCTCCCTATGGCTACTTGCCAGGTGCCTACTACGACAAGCTAGCAGCGACACGGAAAAACATTCAGAGAGCAATTCAGCCCTGGGCAATAACAACAACAACACAACACAGTGACAGAGTTATTTGTACGTCCGGGAAAGCCTCAACTGAGTCTCGTAACTTTTTTTCACGACGGTCTTGCCGGGTCTCCCCCGTCGCAGACAATGATTGCTGTGTGTACTGTATTGCAAATTGACGACTGTAGTCTGCCGGCACACAATGGCTCCACTCTTGCGAATGAAGCCACGGGATCTTTAAATTGTTTCCACTGAAGCAGATGGCGCGCGTAGAAATGATTACAGGACACATCCCGTAGTGGTCAACACAGGACACACATACACACAGCAGTGGTCAACACAGGACACACACACACACAGCAGTGGTCAACACAGGACACACACACCGCAGTCGTATTGAGCGGGGCGGCCGCTGGAGCCCGAACCGTGAACCTGTGTAACAAAGCGGACGTGTCATCCGCCCGAGATGAAAGATGTTTGCCGCGGGCATCACCGATGGTTACATCACAACAGTGAACCGCGCTACAAATGGGACAGCCCGTTCCCGCGGGCCTTTGTGGAGATGGATCGGGGGGGCTCGCGGGTGGTGGTGGTGGTGCTGGGGGGGTGAACAGCTGTCACAGTCCGTACACAGCAGGTCCGCAGGGAGACCTGCTGGACCATAGCCCGCGTTGTGTAACGCAAGGCTGCGCGGATGGATCGGGGTGATCATCGATTGAGCTGGGAGTTTGTTTCGCAAAAACAAGAGCCATTAACGAGGTATTCTCTTGTTCTCGCTCCGTGACACATGATGATGAATTACAGAGCTCCCATGTATAATGCAGTCGACGTGCGCGTGTGGTATAAAACTCTATGCGGCGACGCGAGTGGGCACGTGGTTGATGTCGAGTTCGGGACGACTCTTGAGAGATGCGTTAAAATACAACTAAAGACAAAGCCCCTTTCTCAGCCCACCGATCCGGCTCGCTCACGTCTACAGAGTGCGTCCGTGTACCCACACACACGGGGGGAGGGAGGGGAGTGCGCGTGGTGTGTACGCCGCTAATTGATGAGAGTCTGTCCCCGTGCCGTGTTGGGCGAGGGTGCTGGTGGCTGTTGTGTGAACATACTTCTCCACGCTGGCACGGACTCCACTCGCTAGAGCTGCGCGACTAAGCGCGTTTGTCGAGGACATCTGGAATCCACTTGCATACTCTCCGGACTGTGATAGTTGTCGTTCGGACATTACGTGTTGACGCGTACAAGCGCTTTGCTATCTATTGGTGAAAGGCGCTGTATAAAAACGTAAATGTTTGTTTTATAAATGATTGCCGGATGTGTTGAGTTTGTCATTTTTATTTTCTTGTGCGCCACCGGCTAACGCAGTCGTAGCAACAGCAGCAACAGCAGCAGCAGCAGCAGCGTGTCACGCATCGCACGAGATGCCAGCGAAGTGAAAACATCATCGCACGTTATATCGACGCGACATTTGTTGTTTGCCGGTATGAACATGATGCCTCGCACAATGTCTCTGTTTGTCGTGTGAACGTCTGAACGCCTGTTTCATTGTCAGAAAGGGTAAAACCCCTCGACGTATTTGGCATCATCATCGTCCTCTCTCTCTCCCTCCCCCCCATGTCCACGCAAGGTGGTGTCTCTGGGCGGCGTCCCCGACGGAACCGTGGTCACGGTGCTTGCCGGCAACGACGAGAACTACGCGGCCGAGCTGCGCAACGCCACGGCCGTGATGAAGCAGCAGGTGGCTCGCTTCAACGACCTGCGCTTCGTGGGCCGCAGCGGCAGAGGTCAGCGCGAGGGATTATTATTACCAACGCTAGCTACACGTGGAAATCTGATGTATATGGCTACGTCGGGTGGTGGAGGGTCTGACGACATCACTTATCCAAAGAACAATGCGACCTAATCCAAAAATCAATCGTGAATTGCTACATTTGTATTTTACAAGACGTACAGATAATTGGTATACGGGAGAAAACAAATCTCTGTTCCACACAACAGCAGGGTGCCGATGTGTGTTGAACTTCTTTCGCACCCTACGTAGCAAACCGCTCCAATCGGAGGTGCGAGTGCATACTGCACGTGCGCGTGTACACACACACACACGTGTGTGTGGGGGGGGAGCGGTAGTGTAGCGGTTAGCGCTAAGCTGCGCTATGAACCTGGCGACCCGGGTTCAATTCCCGCTCACGGCCAACACCAGTGGCGATTATCTGAACCGGTCCTGGGCCTCCCCTAGGTCGACTCAGCCTGAAATGAGTACCTGGTTCGGTGTTTAAACATCGCCACTGGGGAGACAAAGGCGGTCGGGCGTGGTGCTGGCCACCCACCCCCTCGGTGTACCGTTCCGGCCTTCATAGGTGCTCGCTAACAGCACTTACCCGTACAGTCTGTTAAAGGCTATACGGGGGATCTTTATCTTTGTATTGTACGCGCGCGCATACGCACACACACGTGGGTACGTGGGTGTGTGTGTGAGCGTACACGCGTGTGTACACGCACACACACACGCACACACACACACACGCACACACACACACGCAGGTGCCTGCGTACACGTGGACACACCACCACCACGGCATCTCGCCGGCGTTCCTAGAGCCATACCCCTCGCTTTGTAAACCCCTGCTCCGCTGCGCGATTCATTGCACGATCCCGATTCACGATGACAGGATGCAGTGTAGTATTCGAGAGTCCATTGTTGTTGTTGTTGTTGATCCCATCGCGTTTGTTGCTGTCGTTCTGTGGCCCTGATAGCGACACACATGGCACGCCTAGAGCACGTGCACTCGCCGACTCTCGCACGCGCGACTCGAGCAGCGTCACCGATCTTAAGGATCGACGACGAGAACAATACGCGCCGATTGATGATTAATATCCCCAATCGCAATGAATATTATAATGAAGATCGATTGTCACATTTCGATAAGGACGCCGTGTCGCAGGAACGTGCCAAAAAGCGAGCATCGCAAACGTCGTGTTAGCATGCGAACTCTGGGTTGTCAGAGCATGTTGGTTGGCATGTTCACCACAAGTACCCGCCTGTGGTTAATGAGAACTTTATTCCTTGCCAAGAGTTTCTGATTTGGTGCTTGAACATCTTAACACTTCCGGTTTTATTGTCGGAACGGCGTGAAACGTCTTCTTATTTTTTCACACTTTGACACCGGCAAACGGGTCGCATGTTGAACTCTTGATTCGTTCACCACTCAAGTGAAAGGTGATCGATCCTCCGTTCGCCGACCCCCCCAGCCATCGGAATCGCCGTTTGTGTTTTGATGAAGCGGTCGTCTGCGGGGGTCGACGGGCGAGACATCCCCCGGGGGGTCGCGGTGACTCAGCGCTGGGAAGGAGCGAGTCAGCGGCGAGTGGGACGGGGCTGTCTGGGATGTAGGAGGATTGCTTACAGGGGCAGCGCCAGTGTAGTGGTCAGCGCAAAGCGCTCACGGCCACCAAAATCAATGACGATCATCTGAAACGGTCCTGGGCCTCCCCTAGGTCGACTCGGCCTCAAATGAGTAGCTTGTGCCGTGTGTGAACATCGCCACCGGGGAGTCAACGGCGGCCGGGCGTGGTATTGGCCACCCACCCACCCGCCCGCTCGTGTGCCGTGCGGGACTTTATCGAGGCGTTCGCTAGCAGCACTTGCCCCGACAGTGTGTCAAAGGCCACGCGGGGGACCTTTGTCTTTGTGATTGCTCATGCAGGCAGTTGGCACTGAAGTGTGACTTCCATGTCTCCAGCGACACGGCGATTACATTGGGTGACGAATGTCGTGGTTTGTGCATTTCGTGTGATGTGTGATGTATATGATATCCACAGTCAGACTACATACTCTATATAGTTAACTGCCTCGCCTGGTATACAGGAGGTCGTGGGTTCGATCCCGACCCTGACGCCTGCTGTGTATTTGGAGTTCGCGTGTCTCTCTCTCTCTCTCTCTGTGGTGGCGTGGATTTTTCTCCGGGTCCTCCGGTTTTTCCCTCCACATTTAGTAACACGCATTTAGAGTATTTGGCTGCGACACATTTCCACTTGGTAAACCACTCCGATGGGCTATAATTTGTGTCCAGGTCGCTTCTTCAAAAGAGTTTCATAGCTCAGCGGGCTTTGCCTGGTAAATAATATGAAAAACAATAGTTTATAGTTTTACAGCGTATCCTGTGTATGCTGGGTTCTGCGGGAACGCAATCACAGCTCGGGACACAGCCTATGAAGTCGCACACTCAAACGTTGTAATTTATCCTGATAATCGAAAAATGTAAGACGAGTTTATAAATTGTGCTTACACAGCAGGTCGGTGTGATAGACAATACAGGATAGCCAGTCTCACCAATTTGCCTGAACAAAGGTGCTGTAACGCCGTTACCGTGGCACAGTGAAAAGACAAAGATACCGTCTCCCTCGCCTCGAGCAGGCTGTTGGGGCAAGCGCTGTTAGCGAGCACCTGCCAAGGTCGACACGGCACCACGCCCGGCCGCCTTTGTCTCCCCAGTGCTGATGTTTACACACCGCACCAATTAAGGCTGAACCGACCTAGAGGAGGCCCAGGACGGGTTCAGATATTAGTCAATATTGGCTGTGAGCGGGAATCAAACTCGTGTGCGCAGTGCGCTAACCACTCCGCTTTTTAATTAAAAAATGACACAATTTAGGTGTGAAAACGTCAGTGAGGTCTTTAACTTAGCCTCGGGGCTGAGCTTCAGAAAACATCGCCTGCTTGCTTACGCCTTTATCTGCACCGGAAAAACAACGAATTGTCAATGTGCCAATGAGGAGCATGGACCTGTTCACTGGTTGAGGGGTAGGGGCCCGTGGAAAATATTGAAAGAGAGTTTAATCCCTGGTATAAAAACAAAACAACTACGAGAACAATGCGGTTTATTGATGCAGGAAAAAGCCTCGCTTTGTCTGAGGACCCACGTGGACATCACAGTGACCACTTATTGAGTGATCACTTATTATTCAAATTTGGGTGAAATTATATATATATATTGCAGTACTGTCTATGCGTACATTTTAATTCTCAAACACGGAATATGTTTCACAATAAGTGAAATCGCACCTCCGATTTAAGCACGGCTGGCCTACGTACGGTGCAAAGGAAGTTCAGCGTACATACAGGCCGTGCGGCGTGGATGCAATGCCGCTACTGCGCGAGGGAGGGGGGGCGGGAGGGGTAATTTGCGCAGTAATTAAACACAAACACAAAACAAGGACGGTCCCTATTGCCCAGCTAGCCGTGATGAATGGAGGTCGTGGCCGGGCACCGTGTTCGCTGCGAGCTAATGGGACGGGGTTCTTAGGACTCGTTGGGCACGTCTCTGAGCCTCTGATGGGGTCAAAGAATTGAACCCGGGACATCGTTAACCCTTTCCCGTCCCGAGACGCACTGCAAGTTGCAGGGTGGGCGTCCCGTTCACCGCTGAATCTCGAAACGCGCAAGCGGTGCGGCGTTAATTTTATTTAGAGAGGCGTAGCGCCTTTGTTTTTAAAGACGTCGTTACTCACCGCAGAGAACCGTAGCAACACGGCCGCCACATTCTACGACAGCTGGCGGCTAAACTGTGCCACACGCCCTCCCGCATGGCCTTGTGGGAGCCTCGGTACCGATGAAGCTGTTTCAACTTAGTCTTTCTTCAGATTCCATTCCGATGACGTGCACGTCATCGGAACGGAAACGGAAGAAAAACTGACGACTTATATGTACGTTCGGATGACGTACACGTACGTCATTGGAATGGGAAAGGGATTCAAGCGACGTACGGAGTGCGGGGACGGCTGGTGAGTGGAGAGCGGAATGCGCCGCTGTGTGAACACGCACACGAGGGGACTTCTCAACGTCAGGTTTCGTTTTGTCTCACCTGGTGAGACCCTCCCCGTCCCCCCTCCAAGAGGCCAGGATCGAGTGGCATTTGGCATTTGGCTCAGAGGGTTGACCTGGGTCACCAAATCGACACAAGCAGGAATATACAAAAGCAACAGCAACGATAACAACAACAACAACCACAATACATCAATGAAGCAAATTGAAATCATAAAAAGCGATTTATAGCAAAACAACGACTGTGTTACAGTGCACAAACAATCAATATTAAATGCAATTATTTTGCCATAACAAAAGTTGGCTTTGACGAATTACTATTACGAATGATTAGGAGTAAGTTTTAGCAAGGGGAGAAAAACATACTTGGGGTGGTTATTACATTAGTGTGTTAATATTGATGGCAGGCGTTAAGAAGTTAAAACACCAAATGGATGCCTATTGCAAGTCAAATTTGATGCCCTGCCGGGTATATTTACACACACACACACGGATTGCGGTGCGTTACACCGGGGAGGCGAGTGATTTATCGCAACGTTTGTGTGTATGCGTGTGTGTCAGTGTTTTATAAATAGCACGCGTGTACACAACTCACGGCTATCTGCGCCGTTGTGGTATTTTATAACAGCGGTGGCCCCGAGCCACCGAAGATAATCACCCAGCCCGGCGTGGCGTGAGTGACCTGTGGCCTGAGCTATACTCGCAGCCGATTGTCGCGGTTATCGCGAGCGAGCTTCAAGATTTCACGCCAAAGCCACACCGTGCAACGTGGCCCCGAGATTGTATTTAGTCTCGCGCGTAACTCGCCCTTTAACAGAATGAACACGAAGGGAAGCAATCGCTAATTATAGCGTCTGTGAGAAATGATAGTCGAGTTATTATTGTAGGTGACGAAAACAACAACGATAATATAATTCGTAGGCGGTTTAACGAACCGTGAGGCCAAGCAAGTGGTTGTGTGGT